CCCTTTCCTTCTCTCTTTCTCTGTCCCTCTTATGTATATCTCTTTCTCCATAATGCCTTTCTCTCTTTCGCTCCTCATTTCCAGTTTTTGCTTAATGATCTTAGAAAAATCTGTTTTCTTTCTTTCCCTTCCATCATTTTGTTTGTAAATGCTGGATTACTTCAGTCATGGTTAAGCTTGAGAATGGTGAATTTTATACCAGGGAAAAGAGAAGATAAGCTTATATAAAGAATCAGTATCTAAGGCACAAAAAGCATCCTTGGGAATCTCCTAAAAATTATTTTCCCATACTTTTTCCTTCATTTTAATCTGGTTTTTCTAAAATAAAAAAAGTATTCAAACTTTCAACAAGAACTTTCATTCTATTTTCTTATTTCTTATTCTGGCATTAATTTTTAACTACATAGTTTTTTAAAGACAATTTTGGGGAGTTGTAGGTTCACAGCAAAATTGAGCAGAAAGTACACATTTCACACATACCCCCTGCATGTATAGCCTCCCTTACTATCAACATCCCCCACCAGAATGTGACATTTGTTATAAAGGATGAACCTGCCTTGACACATCATAATCAAAGTCCATAGGTTACATTAGGGTTCACCCTTGGTGTTGTATAGTCTATGGATTTGGAAACATGCTTAATGACACATATCCATCATTACAGCATCATACAGAATATTTTTCCTGTCCTAAAATATTTACGCTCCCCACTAATACCTGGCAGCTACTGATCTTTTCATTGTCTCCATAGTTTTGTCTTTTTCAGAATATTATGTAGTTGAAACCATACAGTATGAAGCCTTTTCAGATTGGCTTCTTTCCGTTAGTAATATGTATTTAAGTTTTTTCTGTCTTTTCATGGCTTGTTGGCACAGTTTTTTAAATCCTAAATATATTCCATTGTCTGGATGTATCACAGTTTATTCACTCATTAAAGGACATCTTGGTTGCTTCCAAGTTTTGGCAGTTATAAATAAGTTTGCTATCAATGTATGCAGGTTTTTGTGTAGACTTAAGTTTTCCACTCCTTTAGGTAAATACCAAGGAGTGACATGCTGGATTGTATGTTAAAAGTATAGTAATAAACTATACTTAGTTTAGTAAGAAACTGCCAACTGTCTTCCAAAATGACTGTACCATTTTGCATTCCCACCAGCAATAAATGAGAGTTCCTGTTGCTCCCAATCCTCATTAGCATTTAATATTGTCAGTGTTTTTTGTTTTGGCCATTCTAATAGCTGTAAATAGGTATTTCACTATCGTTTTAATTTGCATTTCCCTGATGATGTCTGATGCGGAGCATCTTTTCATGTGGTTATTTTCCGTCTGTATATCATCTTTGGTGAGATGTCTGTTAAGGTCTTTGGCCCATTTTTTAATCAAATTTAACTTCATATATTAAACAACTTTTACATATTTTTAAATGAATTTTCAACTTTAATATATAAAGTTGTTTGCTTACTGTGGAGTTTTAAGATTTCTTTGTATATTTTCGATAATCCCTCTTTATCAGATACATCTTTTGCAAACATTTTCTGTGGCTTCTCAGTGTCTTGAAAATTTTAAGTTAAACTTTTTTTTTTTTTTTTTTTTTTTTTTTTTAATGAGCCTATACTGTTTTTGCATTTAAGGGTTTCACAGGCTCACCTCAACACCAATGACAATTTACAATATTCTTTCAATGGGAAAACACAGTCCTCTTTGCAAATAGTTGACTTATAAACAAACTGTTGGAACGTGATTCATTTGCACCAATAAGAGATCACTATCACAGAACAAGTTTAGGAGGACGGTGGCAGTAAGTCTAATGGAAAAAGGCTAAAGAGGGTTAAGTTTGACAATGAGAAAAGACAGACTGGACAACAGTGTAAGATCCTGTCTCTAAATAAATAAATAAATAGCAGTAATCTAGGCTATTAAAATGGCAAGTTTTAAATGAGTGAATATATTTTCCAGTTATATTCTAAAATTTTGAATTCCTCATTAATTTTCCTATACTCCAGATCTTTAGAACCCTCTAGTGTCCATATGAGGAACTGGTTTAGGTGAACCAAGTAAAATGCTTTTAATTTGTACATTCATGTTATATATATATACGTACATATGCTGGATGCAGTGACTCATGCCTGTAGTTCCAGCACTTCAGGAGGCTAAGATGGGTGGATTGCTTGAGCCCAGGAGTTTGAGACCAGCTTGGGCAACATGGCAAAATCCTGTCTCTACAAAAAATACAAAAATTAGCTGGGCATAGTGGTGCATGCCTATAGTCCCAGCTACTGGGGAGGCTGATGTCGGGGATCACTTGAGCAGTGATCATGTCATTGCACTCCAGCCTAGGCAACATGGCAAGACCCTGTCTCAAAATGTATACATATATTATAAAATACAAAAAACCTTTAGAAGTGTGCTTGTCTAACTTCCAATTTAAGATAACAGACTAAGCACATGCCTCTGCCTCCCTCTTCTTAGGATGTGAGTGACATGACAGGAAAGTGGTATAAGCAATAATTTTGTGGCAACATTGAAAAGAAAGAAGGACCAGTGGTCCAGAAACTGCAATACCTCCAGGAAAGAAGGACGGACCAGTGGTTCAGAAACTGTATTAAAAACTCTAGAAAACAGAAAGATGGATTCATAATAACTGGTTTACTTATCATTTCCACAACATACCAGCGGTAAAATGAAGTTTGGGGCTGGCGGAGTACTAGAGAGGTTCCAAGAACAAAATGGAGCATTATAGAGGGAAGGAGTGGCCTATGAAGCAGCAGCTCAAGAACAGCCATGCGTCACATAACAGGGATAAGTTCTGAGAAATGTGTCACTAGACGATTTCCTCACTGTGTGAACATAGAGTGTACTTACACAAACTTAGATGGTATAGCCTATTGCTCCTACGCTACAAACCTGTACAGTATGTTACTGTATTGATACTCTAAGCAATGGTAAGTATTTGTCTATCTAAACATATGTAACATAGAAAAGGTACAGTAAAAATATGGCATAAAAGATAAAAAATTGTACACCCATATAGGATGCTTAACTTGAATGGAGTTTGTGGGACTGGAAGTTGCTCTGGGCAAGTCAATGAGTGAGTGATGAGTGAACATGAAGGCCAGGGGCATTAGTATACACTACTATGAACTTTACACTTAGGCTGTGCTAAAAATATTTTTCTTGTTTTAATAATCAATTAACTTTAGCTTACTGTAACTTTTTAAATTTATAAACTTTTAATTTTATATAACTTTTTGACTCACAGTAACACTTAGCTTAAAATACACATTGGCCAAGAACAAGCCTATAATCCTAACATTTTGGGAGGTTGAGGTGGGATGATCCCTTGAGCCCAGGAGTTCAAGACCAGTCTGAGCAACATAGTGAGACCCCGTCTCTACAAAAAGTAAAAAAAATTAGCTGAGTGCAGTGGTGCATGCCTGTAATCCCAGGTACTTGGGAGGCTGAGGTGGGAGGATCACTTGAGCTTGGGAGGCAGAGGTTGCAGTGAGCCAAGATTGTGCCACTGCACTCCAGTCTGGGTGACAGAATGAGACCCTGTCTCAAAACAACACACAAAAAACACATTCACACACATTGTACAGCTGTACAAAAATATTTTTTCTTTATATCCTTGCTTTAAAAGCTTTCCTCTATTTAATTTCTTTTTAACTTTTAAAGACACAAACCCACACATTAGCCCCAGCCTACACAGGATCAGGATCATCAATATCACTGTCTTCACTTCCACATCTTGTCTCACTGGAAGGTGTTCAGGGGCAATAACACATGTGGAGTTGTCATCTCCTACAGTAACAGTGCCTTCTGGAACTCCTCCTGAAGGGCATGCCCGAGGCCGTTTTACAGTTAACTTTCTAAAGTAGGGGTACACTCTAAAATAACAAGTATAGTAGAGTAAATACATAAACCAGTAACAGTCATTTATAATTATCCAGTATTATGTACTATACATAATTGTATGTGCTTGACTTTTTTTTTTTTTTATTATTAAAGACAGAGTCTCGCTCTGTCGCCCAGGCTGGAGTGCAGTGGCGCGATCTTGGCTCACTGCAAGCTCCACCTCCCGGGTTCACACCATTCTCCTGCCTTAGCCTCCTGAGTAGCTGGGACTACAGGCACCCACCACCACGCCCGGCTAATTTTTTGTATTTTTAGTAGAGACGGGGTTTTGCCGTGTTAGCCAGGATGGTCTTGATCTCCTGACCTTGTGATCCGCCCACCGTGGCCTCCCAAAGTGCTGGGATTACAGGCGTGAGTCACTGCGCCTGGCCTTTTGTGCTAGACTTTTATAGGACTGGCAGCACAGTAGGTTTGTTTACAAATAGCATCACTACAAACAAGTGAGTAATGTGTTGTGCTAGGATGTTACAAGGCTATCATGCCACTGGGCGATAGGAATTTTTCAGCTCCATTATAAGCTTATGGGACCACTATTATAGTTGCAGTTTGTCAGTGACAAAAACATCTTTATGTGACACATAACTGTAGCTGATTAGATCACTAGCTACTACACTTCAGGGCAAAGACTTTCTTCCCCCAGGTGCAGAGAACAAATGGTTGCAGCATTTCCTCTGGTCGTAGTCCTGCAAACTGCTCACCAAAGACAGTACTGAGCCTCAGATGATGTAGACCTCCTCAAAGTCCTGAAGAGTAGAAAATGCTCCTCCCCTACAGAATAATTTTTCTTTGGAAATTGTGAGGCCCCTGTCATCCTACAACCACACTAACAGGACACTTGCCAGTCACAAGACCAACTGTGAGCAGGCACTCAGCCCCGCATTCAGGGCAAGTCTTTGGTGTAAGCAGCTGTTTACAACCACCACTGTGTCCATGCCTACCACTTAACCTCATCGACTCTGCAGGGCTGAACTGTCCCTGAAGAGGTGTAATCTTATGGCTGGGCCTATGACTGACCACTGATCTGATGCAGGGGTTACAGACAGTTAGCAGGTCTATGGCTGTTAATGGACTGTTTCTTTCCACAGAGAGCTGAAGAGCCAAGAATAAAATGCTCACCTTACAATTTACTTTTGGAAAACTCAACATCTTACCTTTTCGCCTTTTTGGATTGCAACAAAAACATCACAGAATTTCTGATATTAAATTTATTTTGGAATGTATGTTGTATTCTTTTTTACTTGGCAAGGGGTATAAATTTAGAAAATGTTCAATTTAGTTTTTTAAAATCTGGTTTAACAGTTTGTCTGAAGCGGATTAGTGGCCCATGATCTTCATTAATCTTTTGGGCAATAAATGTTTAAATTGTTCAATCTGTGTCAAAACCAATCTGGCCCATTGCTTTATTTCTTTTTTTAAACAAAGTTTAAGGACAGGAGCAGTGGCTCATGCCTGTAATCCCAAAGCTTGGGAGGCCGAGGCAGGTGGATAACTTGAGGCCAGGAGTTGGAGACCAGTCTGGCCAACATGGCGAAATCCCATCTCTACTACTAAAAATACAAAAATTAGCCAGGCATGGTGGTACGTGCCTGTAATCTCAGCTACTCGGAGGCTGAGGCGCAAGAATTGCTTGAGCCCAGGAGGCAGAGGTTGCAGTGAGCTGAGATCAAGCCACTGCACTCCAGCCTGGGTAACAAAGCAAGACTCTGTCTCAAAATTAGATGTTAAAATGCCAATTGTGGAGTCACATCTGATCCACTTAAGTAACTTGATCATGCTTCCACTAAATAAAAACAACAGTCTCAGAGTAATAACAGTACCAAATGTGAAAATAAATTGAGTAAAAAAACCCCAAACATAGTGAAGGAGAAAATCAGCAAGTAAAATAAAGATGATGATAATAGTAATAACAAAAAGTATTTACATTTTGTTGTTGTTTGTTTTGGAGGCAGGGTCTTTCTCTGTCACCCAAGCTGGAGTGCAGTGGCGTGATCATGGCTCACTGCAGCCTCAGTCTTCTGGGCTCAAGTGATCCTCCAGCCTCAGTCTTATAAAGTACTGGGATTACAGGCATGAGCCTAAATTAGTGCCTGGCCTAAATTTTGTAATGTGAGGGATGTGACTCAAGAATTCCACTTCCAGGAGTTTACATAGTCAAGAATACAAGAAGCAACATAATTACATGGTTATTTCCGTGTTATTTTGTATTCTTCTACAGAAGAAATCAGTAATATTTTTCTGTAAAATGCCAGAGAGTAAATGTTTTAGACATTGCAAAAACATGACCTGTTGTAAATATTCAACTCTGCAGTTGCAGCATGAAAGCAGCCATGGAAAACAAGTTAATGAGTGAGCATGGCTATGTTCAGAGAAAATTTTACTTATGGACAATAGATTTCACATAGTTTTACGCCATTTTCACATGTCATCAAATAATCTTTTGATTTTCCAACCATTTAAAAATGTAGGCCAGCTGCAGCGGCTCATGACTATAATCCCAGCATTTTGGGAGGCCGAGGTGGGCAGATTGTTTGAGCTGAGGAGTTTGAAACCAGTCTGAGCAACATGGCAAAACGCCGCTGTTTAAATGGGGGGAAGTCTAAATGTTAGATTCTGGACTTGGCTCTTCCTCTATTCAGCTGCCAACCATGATAAACACTTTAAACCTTAAAAAAACAAACCATTTTCCTATTTAGAGCACGTTAAATCTTAGTTTTTCCCATAACGTCTTCCTTGATTCATTAGTTGTCCTTTACTTTTAAACAAACTGAAATTTATACTCTATATTGGTCTCCTCAGGTTGCCATAACTAAATACCAGACTAGGTGGTTTAAACAAAGGAAGTTTATTTTCTCACAGTTCTGGAGGTTAGAAGTCTGAGATGAGGATATCAACAGCATGGTTAGGTTCTGGTGAGGACTCTCTGGCTTATAGTCAGCTGCTTTCTCACTATGTCTTCACATGGCAGAAGGAGACACAACAAGCTCTCTGGTGGTCTTTTCTTGTAAGGACACTAATCCCAATCATGAAGGCCCCAAACTCTTCACCTCATTTAAACACACTTACCTTCCAAAAGGCCCATCTCCCAATACCATCACATTGGAGGTTAGGGCTTCAACATATGAGTTTTAAGGTGGCACATTCAGTCTATAACTTCCTGTCCATATATTAGTTACGTATTAGGTATTATGTATTACCTAATGCATAACCAATCTGTATTAGTCAGAGTTTTCCAGAGAAACACACACACACACACACACCCCGAGAGAGAGAGAGAGAGAGAGAGAGAGGGATCATGACCTCATCTAACCCTAATTACCTCCCAAAGGATCCACCTCCAAATATCATCATAGTGGGGGGTTGAGCTTTAACATACAAATTTTGGGAGGATACAAACATTCAGTCCATAACACACCCAACTCACCTATTTATTTTTAATTTTTTTTTTTTTTTAGAGACAGGGTCTCACTATGTTGTCCAGTCTGGTCTGCAACTCCTGGGATCTAGTGATCCTTTTGCCTCAGCCTCCCAAAGTGCTGAGTTAACAGGTGTGAGTCACTGCACCTGGCCCCCAACTCACCTTTGTCATGCCAATTTCAGACTTAAGTACCCTGATGGATAAACAAACATTTTAAGCAATCACATAGTGCTTTCTGACCACCAACATATGTTGCCTTCTTGGTCTCATCGGTATGTGTGCAATAATCTATTTATATCTAATATCTCATTATTTTAACCACATGAATCAACAATGAAAAAAAGTGGTAATACTTAGAATAAAAACCTTTAGTCTTACAAACTTAATTCTGAGAAAAGATGGAATTAATTAGGTGTGCCAAAAGAGAATATTACTACCACATACCCACAGGATTTTGTTCAAATGTAAACAAAGAATAAAATCATATGAAATATTATCAATATACTGAATAATATGTCCATAAAGCAAGCTGTAAAATATTTATATTTTAAGCTTTCTAGTGATGAACATATTCTACAGAAGAAAAAAGATCACTTTACTCTTACACATTTTTAGGAATGTATTAATACTGTAGGAAACTGAATAACATAGGCTAGGTCGGTCTGTTTCTCAAACTTTGCTAACATATTGGAACAGCCTGGAAAATCTTTGAAAAATACTGATACCTGATTTCTATCACTAGATTTTTTTTTTTTTTGAGATGGAGCCTTGCTCTGTTGCCCAGGCTGAAGTGCAATGGTGTGGTCTTGGCTCACTGCAAGCTCCACCTCCCAGGTCCATGCCATTTTGCTTCAGCCTCCCGAGTAGCTGGGATTACAGGCGCCCGCCACCACGCCCAGCTTTTTGTATTTTTAGTAGAGACGGGGTTTCACCATGTTAGCCAGGATGGTCTCGATCTCCTGACCTCATGATCCGCCTGCCTCAGCCTCCCAAAGTGCTAGGATTACAGGCGTGAGCCACTACACCCGGCCCAATATTCTTATTTAATTGGAATGAAGGGGAACTTAGGCATTTGAATTGTAAAAGTTCCCCAAGTGATTTTAATGTGCAACAGAATTTGGGAATCACTGGCCTAAGTTATCCTGAGGATGAAAAGCATCTCCAAAATCTCAATGGTTTAAAAAACAAGTCTATTTCTCACTCATGCTACAAGTTCAAACTGAGTCAGAAGGGGGATTTTGCTTATCCTCCTTCTCTCCCATCTCAACCCAGGCCTCAGGGTCCATCACACCAGGGGAGAAGGAATGAAGAATCATGTACTGGCTTGTAAATGGTTTTATGCAGAAACAATTCACCTCGCTTCTCCCTAACATTTCATTAGCTGAAGCAAGTCACTTAGTCATGCCTAATTTCAAGGAGATGGGAAAGTGTAATTCTCCCACATGATCAGGAGATAAGAACAACTAGAAACATTGGTGAGGACAGTAATGTCTCCACCCCACCTCTCCCTTTTTTTGAGATGGGGTCTCACTCTGTCAGCCAGCCTGGAGTGCAGTGGTGTGGGCTCACTGCAACCTCTGCCTTCCGGGTGATCCTCCTACCTCAGCATCCCCAGTAGCTGGGACCACAGGCATGTGCCACCATGCCCGACCTATTTTTTTATTTTTGGTAGAGACAAGGTTTTGCCATGTTGCCCAGGCTGGTCTCCAACTCCTGGGCTCAAGCGATCTGCCTGCTTCAGCCTCCCAAAGTGCTGGAATTACAGACATGAGCCACTATACCTGGCCACTTCAGTGACTTTTGTTAACATTAATGTGCATCACTGTGAAGCTAGTGTGTGTGTGTGTATATATATATTTGTATATATTATATAGTATACATAGTGTATATATATTTATATATAGTATATAGTGTAAATATCTATATAATATACTATATATATATATATATATTTTTTTTTTTTGGAGCAGGAGTTTCACTCTTGTTGCCCATGCTGGAGTGCAATGGCACAATCTCGGCTCACTGCAACCTCTGCCTGCCAGGTTCAAGCAATTCTCCCACCTCAGCCTCCCAAGTAGTGGGATTATAGGCATGTGCCACCATGCCCGGCTAATTTTGTATTTTTAGTAGAGATGGGGTTTCACCATGTTTGTCAGCTGGTGAACTCCTGACCTCAGGTGATCTACCCACTTTGGCCTCCCAAAGTGCTGGGATTACAAGTGTGAACCACCACACCTGGCCTCCAAAATATTTTAAGGGAGTACAGAACCACTATGTTGAGTATAAGCTGGGCATGGTGATGCAAGCCTGTAGTGTCAGATAATTGGGAGGCTGAGGTGAAGGATCACTTGAGTCCAGGAGTTCAAGGTGCACTACAGCCTGGGAGACAGAGTGAGACCCTGTCTCTAAAAACAAACACCACCACCAAAAAACCCCAAACAGAACAGTGAGTATATGCCATCATTCTTTTTTTTAAGTGTACGTATATGTATACTTGAATACCCATATGGTATCTATCATTAGAAAGATACACAAAAAACTGGAAAATGTGGTAGTGGAACAGACTTAATTTTCATTGCATGCCTTTGTATTGTTTGAATCCAAAAAAAAAAAAAAATCCCACGTGTATACTTAAAAAAAAATTTTTTTTAAATAAAGGATTTTATGGGCCAGGCACGGTGGCTCAAGCCTGTAATCCCAGCACTTTGTGAGGCTGAGGCAGGTGGATCACGAGGTCAGGAGTTCGAGACCAGCCTGGCCAACATGGTGAAACCCCGTCTCTACTAAAAATACAAAAAATTAGCT